TCCCTGGGAGGCCTCCCCTGCCCCTCTCCTGGATGGGCAGAGAGGCTGGTTCCCAGGGTGGTGGCGTGAGGGCATCCGTAGACCCAGAAGAACCAGCTGTTCTGGGATGGGCAGCCCTGGCCACCACTTCCTGCCCACCTTGTGGGAACCCTCAGACCCCAGACGTCATCATCCCCAGCTTGGCCGACAGTAGGTGCCCGAGGGCTTGGACTGGGGGCTGGGCTGAGCTCTTGCCTCCTCACACTGCTCCTCTCTGCTCTCAGGCAGACAGGCCAGGAGCAAGCGGGACTGTCCACACCCTCCTGGAGGGGGCCCAGCTCCTGGGTGGCCTATCCCTCTCTGACCCCTCATTTTGGAGCAAGGTCACTGGCCTGCTGCCACCCCAGGGGCATGGGTGAATCAAACAGTGAGGTCTTGGAACTGTGTTGATAACTGTGACTGGCCAAGGCCAGAAAGCAGCCCCGTTTACCACTGCCTGCTGCCCACGCCCCAGCCCCCAGCCTCCAGCCCAGAGCTCATCTCCAGCAAAGGTGCCCCCAGGGAGGCCCCCAGTCCTCTGCAGGAGGAGAGACGAGGCCCCCTGAGTGGGGGATTGCAAGATTTGCCCTGGCAGAGCACTCCGGCCCCCTCCAACAAGGCCCTGGGGCCCCAGTGGGGCCTGGTGCATCCACGGCCTGGAGGCTGGCGGGAAGGCCACCCGCTGGCACCCTGGCTCCCGCGCACTCCTTGGGTCAGGCCCAGGAGCCCTGCACACACATGTAGGCACTTGTGGCCGCCGCGGGCCGGGCGTGTCCTAATTAGCCCACTATCTTGGGAGCTCTTGTTGAAAGCAAAACAAACCAAAAAAGTCCTGGTTTGGCCCGGATTCCTCCCTGCGGCTTCCGGGGGCCTCTGGTTTTGGGAGACCCCGGGCTCCTGTGCAGGCCTGGGTTAGGTCCAGGGCTTCCCGCTTCAGCAGCTTGACCCCAGGCAGGAGCCAGGCCCCAGGCAAAGCTCTGTGGCCCCAGGCAGGAAAAGTAAGACCACCAGAGTCCTCTGAGCCAGGTGGAGGGGCCGCTGGAGGATGCCTGGAGAGGCCTACGTGGGAGGACAGGACCCAGAAAACCCCCCACACTTCCCAGACACTCAAAGCTGCAGCTGCAAAACGTCTACCACCCACGGGGGGGTGTGACAGACACGGTGACCACAGTCAGGGCCAGCCACCCACGGGGGGTGTGACAGACATGGTAACCAGTCAGGGCCAGCGTGCCATTGGTGGGGGGGAAGGGGGGTCCCGGGGAAGCAGCAGCAGAGGATGGTGTCCCCTGGGCACAAGGACAGGCCGGGTGCCCCTGGGGTGGAGGGGGCTTCGGAGGCCCACACCCCGTGTCATTGAGCCTGAGGATCAGAGAGAACCAAAGGGAGAGGCCAGCATGGGGGCCCTGCGCAGGCGGCTCTGCTGAGGACGGTGCCGGGAGGGCTTCAGGCCTGCGGTCCCCACGCTTCGCCACGAATCGGCATTTGCACACGGGGCCGCCTGCTGCAATGGCCCGGCTCGCTCCCCCTGGGCTGTGCCGGGCACAGACTCCAGCAGCTCCTCTCCTCTCGGCTCAGTGACTAATGCCTTGGCAGCCTCTTCAGATCATTCAAGAATGTGGACAAGTTAAAATACGAACCACGTTGTCGCGGGTCTGCATCCTGCTTCTCCCAAACAAGGGAGGCTCAGGCTCTGCCCCACTGCGGTCCTGGTCTCGGGGATGGAGCAGGGACGGGAGTTGGGGGGTGCTGCGGCCTGCTGTCCTGACCTGAGAGGGCTCAGCCGGGCAGTTCTCCGACCCAGGAGGCTCAGATGAGTCAGGGGTGGGAAAGTCCTGCCGCCCTGAAGCCAGCCCAGGCCCAAACAGGGAAGCCCCTTCCAGAAAGGTCACCGCTGTTTGCCTGGAAGAGAGAGGGCATCATGGAGAGGGGAGGGTGGGCAGGCTGGTACCAGGCACCTAGTGGTGGGAGGGGCCGGCTCACGTCCCGTACTCACTCCTGGGCAGCTGGGCTTGGGGGAGCTGTCCGCTGGTCGCCAGTTCGTTGGCTCAGCGAGCCTCTGGAGCAGCCTCTGTAATGACAGCACTGACAGGGGAACCGCGTGAGTCATTCTGCTTTTTCTAGTAGCCGCATTCAAAAGGTGTAAAGGAAATGGCGGAGTCATTTAGTTATTTCTCCTATTTACTCCAGCTGTGACAGTTCCAGGTTGTAATCGGTAGGAAATGATGACTGAGGAGTTTCCGTTCTTTTTGTGACCCGAGCCCTTGGAAGTGGTGCGAGAAGGAGTCACGCGCAGAGCATCGGTGGAGGGCCTGTGGTCAGGAGTGCGTCTCGGGCACCTCGGGGGCATCTTGGGCCTTGGTGAGGAGTCTGGGAGCCGGGGACTCCGGGGCGGGGCCTGTGCTGCGCGACTAGAGCTTGGCACTGCCCCGTGTCACCCCAACCTCCCACATGTGCAGCCGAGGCAGGGCCCATCCTTTCTGGAAGGAGCCTGCTGGCAGCTCACCAGTGCCCAGGCAAGCAGGAGGCGTGGGAGGAGCTGTTGTACACCTTTCTCTGAGGGGGGCAGTGGCTGCTCCCCCAGAGCCCCTCACAATAGCCCAGGAGCCAGGAGAGGTGAGGGTCACCCCTCCCTGGGATATGATGCTTTATTTTGTTTGGTTTTGTTTTTTTAGACAAAGTCTTGTCCTATCTCCCAGACTGGAGGGCAGTGGCGTGATCTTGGCTTTCTGCAGCCTCAGATTCCTGGGCTCAAGAGATCCTGCTGCCTCAGCTCCCAAAGCGCTGGAGTCACAGGTGTCCCCCCCTTGATGTTTTTAAGTTGGCACGATGTTTCCAAGGCTCATCCACGCCACTGCGCGTGGGAGCTTCCTTCTGTCTTATGGCGGAGTCAGAGGCCATTGGAGAGTCACCTGTTTTTTTCTCCGTTTCCTGGTCAGTGGACCCCACGCTCCTGGGAAGGACCTGCCGTGGAGGGAGTTAGGAAGGTGACGGGGAGTGTGACAGAGCCAGGAAGGAGGCCACAGTGGTACCGGAGCGGGAACAGGTCCTGTGCTGGGGGATCCCCATTCCATTAGTGAGTGGGCTCCCCAGGTTGACAGCTCATGGCCAGCTGAATGGTTCCAGATGATGGCAGCTTCGGCCAAGACCTTGTCGTGCCAAGGCCCTTGCAGTAGAGCCAGGGCACAGGTCGGACCTGGCATCTCAGGCCTGCTAGGGGCTGTCGGCTGTCCTGGGCTGAAGCACCCAGGGAAACTGCCTGCCTGGCCTGTGGTGGCCCTGGGAACGGTGGCGATGGCTTTGATGAGCACGAGTCCCCTGTCTCCTGCCCCTCCAGCAACCCAGGCTGAACTGCCTCCACATTGCAAAGCACGCAGTGGAGGACTCAATAGAGGACTCCGAAGGACCAAATCTCTGGACTTGCCTGGTGTCCTCCTCCCTCGGCTGCCAGAGGGGCTGGAGGCCTGGGGTCCTCGTCAGGGACCTCAGTGGATGTGCGCCCTTAGACTTGCAGAGCCCAGGGCCTCTGGGTCACTAAGCCCAGCCTCCGCTGATGGAGAAGGCCGAGGTGCAGGGAGGGGCTGAGCTGGGGGTGCCGGCCTGGCCCCTGCACCCTCATGTGCGGGGAATGCACCTTTGTTTCTTGGCTTGGAGGGGGCAGGGTGGTGGGAGGGGAGAGTGTGCTCACAGCACGCCACAACTTCTCTGAAGAGGGGCACAGGGCAGAGGGATCCCCCTACGCCTGGCTCTGCCCCTCCCTGCCCTGCAATCCCAGTTCACCACCTGAGGTTCTCGGCCTGTGCCCTGCTGACTGCTGATGACCTCTATGCTGTCTGCTGGGGCCACTGGATCACCCAGGGCCAATCATCTTCCCAGTCCCATACCTCAGTTTCCTCATTGCAAAATAGAGACAACCACAGTGCCCCGACAGGTGGGGGGAGAGGGGTAAAGGGATTTGTTTGAGTTATACCTCGGGCGTCACAGGGAAAGAGCTGTTAACGCATCTGCAGGGAGATGCTGGTGCAGCGCTCTGTGTCACCCTCCAGCATTCGCCCCTGGATTTGGAAGGAGGGTCTTCCCTTCAAGTGAGGATGCCCTGCCCTGGATCTGAGACACCGAGGCCGGGCCAGCACCCCTCCCTCATCTGGGGCCTCCCTTAAGCTCCTGGCAGAGGCTGATCCATGCTGGGGTCTGGGGCCCCACCGAGGGTGGTGCAGGGGACACACCCACAGGGGTTCCTGTTCCTTGGTGTGTGGTCCTGGTGGGGGAGCTGTGGTTAGGGGCCCAGCAAGAGAACCCCGGGCCAGAGGGCAGCGGGGGTGGGGCTTTGCCAGCCCCTGAGCGTGGAGCTGCCTTTCCAGTAGGGATGAGGCCGTCCACTGGGGGATGAGGCCGCCCACATGCGAAAACAGGGCCCAGCCGCTGACCAGTAGCCCCCACCCTATCCCACCACCTAGAGGGCCAGACCTAGCGAGGGCTCAGATCTGGTCCCCAGCACCTCAGAGCGCCCACGCGCCCAAGCCGGGTGTGCACACCCTGCACTCAGCGCCCATCTGTGCCCAACCCGCCTCCACCACTGCCTGGCTCCCTGGGTCTGGATCTCCCTACTCTGAGTTGTGAGGTCCAGACCCCGATGTGGGCCGGAGCATGCAGCGGAGCCCAAGTGGGCATCGGGGCCTGGGAGCCTCCCCCCGCGCCCCGACGCCTCCCCTCCAGGTGTGCAAAGAGTGGATTCCGCCCCATCAACGGCTGGGTGGATCCCCAGAAACCCTGGCACCAGGAGGCTGATGGAGGGGAGGGCGAGGTGAATATGTCAGTTTATCCCAACGCAAGTAGTGGCCTGTTGGGATGGGGGGGAGACCCGAGGAAATATTTGGGATGACTGGAGCCGCTGGCCCTTTAAGGCTCCTGTAACAGGACACCTCCCAGACGGGACAGGAGGACTGACTGTGTGTGTTTCCCCTCCCTCCTCCCTCTCCCGCCAGGCCCAGTTCAATTTGCTGAGCAGCACCATGGACCAGATGAGCAGCCGCGCCGCCTCGGCCAGCCCCTACACCCCGGAGCACGCCGCCAGCGTGCCCACCCACTCGCCCTACGCGCAGCCCAGCTCCACCTTCGACACCATGTCGCCGGCACCTGTCATCCCCTCCAACACCGACTACCCCGGGCCCCACCACTTCGAGGTCACTTTCCAGCAGTCCAGCACAGCCAAGTCAGCCACCTGGACGGTGAGTTCCCTACTTCCTGCCAGCTGCGGGCTGCGGGCTGGAGAGGAAGCCGAGCTCGCCCCACCGTCTGCTCGGGGTTCCCACCTGGCCAGGACCAGGAGGAGCATCAGGCAAGAGGCGGGTCTCAGGGCTGGGCAGTCTGGGTGTGCCCACCCCTCTGGATGTGAGTGGCCAGAGCCAGCCAGCCTCCAAAGGGCCCCAGAGGGGACGGACTTGGCCCCGCTGGTGAGGTCTCCGCCAAGGTTGGCCGGCAGCTTCCCTGTGCCCCGGTGGGGGCTTTGGTTTGAAATCCTTTCCTGGGCAGAGGCAGGGGCTCTGCTGCCAAGCAGTTGTGTCCGAGGCCGGCCCTGGGGTCCGAAGCGCCTGCCTCCTCCACACAACGAGGCGCATCTGCAGGTGGGTGGATTTGGGCACCGACCCTGGAGAGTCATTTCCATGCAGCGTGTGGATTTGGGCTTTGCTGGCACTGTCCCTGGAGTGTCATTTCCAATAATTGGCATGCACCCAGTAGATGGGGTGGAGCCACAGCGCTCACTTTGGTGCCCCTGGGATGGCCAGGCCCGCCCTGGGGATCTCAATAACTTTGATAACGTCACCTGTGCGCACAGACAGTCTCCTCAAGCCAGGCGCCCTGCTCAGGGCTCTGGGTTTACCTGACTCCTGCACCCACCAGCAACCCACAGGGCTGAGTCCATCCCTTGCCATTTCACAGGCAACGAGGCTGAGGCACGGGGAGGGAAGGGGTTCGCCCAGAGTTCTGCTCATAGTATGTGGGGGCAGCCGCTTCTGCATCTGGGTTCCTGACCACTGACCAGCCCTGCCCAGATGGCTTCTGGGGAGGGGGGCTGTCAGGAGGGGCAAGGTGAAGGCTGCTCAATCCCAGCCAGGAGTGGAGAGCACTCAGGGGCTGGGCGGGAAAGGCAGCCCCGAGGGCTTTCCGAGTCTCCCCACATGGCCGTGGCTGCAGGAAGGGCTCTATGGGACACCAGCATCCCCTCCCCGACAAGGCCCCACCTCCCTCGGGCACAGCTTGGTGCTGGCCCCTGAAGTCTGTGCAGGAGGCTGCATTCCTACCCACAGTGGGGGGTGCTGAGCAAGGGCCCTTCAGAGTTTCCGCTTTAAGAACTGGGTCCCACCGCCCTGCTGGCCATAGCTGCGGTTTTCCCACGCTCCTGGAGGGCTGAGGTGCAGGGTGGAGTCTAAGGTAGCCTGTCAGGCTCTGCAGGTGGCTGGACAGTCCTGCCAGGCTGGTCTAGGGTCTGGGATCTGGGCCCCACCCCCTCCACCTGCGGCTGTTTCAGATTCTCACTCCAGCCATGGGCTCCCCGAACTGCTGGCTCTGTGCTATGAGAAGGTTTAGCCCACACTGCCCGGGCTTGATGGGGAGGGGCTCTGGGCTGAAGGGTCCAGGGGCAGAGGACCTGGTGCCTCCTCCAGGGCTTTCCACTCCCATCTGGCAGGTACTGCAGGCCCCTGTCCCTAACGCCCCAGTTCTCCATTTGGACCTTGCTCCTCCACACTCCTGACTGCACAGTGGTGACGGATGGAGAGGTGGCGCGATGCTGGAGCCAGCACAGCACTCAGCTCGCAGCAGAAGCCCCATGCGTTGTCTTAATTGTGGCGGCAGTGGGCGTGCTGGTTTGGGCCTCCCAAGTGAGTGGTTCTGGGCACCTGCACTCGCCTGTGGGCAAGGGGGGCCAGGACTATCCCTCCACCTTTCAGGTGGCCAGTGGGGCCACCTAAAGCCAACTCAGAGAGCCCCGGGCATCCTCACCTGCACACCTCCAGCACCACTTCTCCCCAGGCTCAGGCATGTTCCCTGAGTCCACTGTCTCCTCTCTAGGGACACTGACCTCCTGCCCTGGGGTTTTCGAGGCTGGTGGTTTCTGGAGAGTGTCTCCTTACAGTCCTGGCAGGTAGCTTGTGGGGGCTCTGCCACCCTTCCTCCCAAGGTCTGGGGATGCGGCTGGGGTCTTTGCTGTGCTTAGAATGCGCTGCACGTGTCCAGGTTGATCTGTGGAGGGACAAGAGCCACTCCTTCTGCCGGCTGGCTCCCCCACTGGGGTTTCTGCCACCCCCAACCCCGCCAGGTGTGTGGCATCAGGTTTCAAGGGACTTCATGGTTTTGTCTCAACTGCCTTGCCCTGCGGGACGGTGTGGTCCCACTCAGACCAGGCGTCCAGGGCTGGCCAGCTGCACTGGGGGAGGGGAAGGCTCTGTCTGGTGGCCCCAGAGAAGCAGCAGAGGGCTCCACGCTCCCTCCCTCCTGGGCTCTGTGGATGCTGGGGGTGGGGTGCACCTGGGGCTCCGCCTCCGCTGCCCTGTGGATGTTGGGGGGTGGAGGTGGGACAAACGTTGATAATGAGATTTTTGGCACCTCAGCTCTCTGGGGGCAGAACCCCCTCCACCAGGCTTCTTCCCTTGCCCAGGGAGGGGCAGGCAGGCGGTCAGCGCTTAGTGGAGGACGGGGCCACTGGGCAGGCCACTTGCTCTCAGCTCTGGGGTCCCCCTGTGCGGGTGCTGCCCAGACCTGCCGCATAGGCTTCAGTCTGGCCTCCGAGCAGTAGCTCCCCAGGCCCTGGCACGCCAGGCGGCTGCTAACTGATAGATAATTCATATTTTTGTCAAGTACAATCTCACAGTGGCTGCTGCCCCCGTTCTTTCTCCTCAATCAGGAAAAACACCCTCACCACACCCCAAGTGAGCACAGCTGCTAATGGGGTCTTTGGCCTCTGCTTTGCTGAGGCCCACGGTGGCTCTCCCCAGCCCCAGGGGGGCCGTCTGTCCTGACCAGCTTCCCACAGACCTCAGATCTCCTTGAGCACTCTGTGTTTCCCGGGCCTGCGCATGTGTGCACACACAGACAAGGTCACTCGCCCACATGCATGGACACACGTGGATACACAAGCACATTATGCACACGCAGGCACATGTCAACACACAGGCATGCATGGGCATGCACAGGCCTCCCTGGTCACTGCCCAGGGTTCTAGCAGCTCCCGCACCATGGAAAGCCCGGAGGAGGAGGAGGCGGGTCCTGGGTGTTGGAGCAGCCAGAGGAAGGATTTGTGTTTAGCTACCAGAGTGTAACCAGTGCCCAGTGACAGGGCAAGGCCATCATTTGGTGAGAGGGACCCTACATAGTGGGAAGGGTGGAGCCGGCACCTGCCGGGGTCCCGATGGCAGATCTGCCCATGAGCACCTGCTGCTTGACACCTCCCCTTCGAAGAGAGGGATGGACCGCCAGCCATGGTGGGGACAAAGAACTGGCTCTTGGGACTTCTTGGGGCAGGGCAGGGTGGCTGGGGAGCGCTCCACACATGTGGGCTGTTTGGAGTGTGATGGTGACGCGAGCTGCCCCTCTCCCAGTTCAACACCCTCTGCAGGACAGTGTGGAGTCAGAGCACGGGCAGAGCCCTCTGCAGGGCATGGTCTGGCCTCAGAGCACTGCTAGCCACTCCTGTCCTGGGAGCCCTGAGGGTTGGCAATGGCATGGATAGCTGGAGTCCAGGAGTCCCTCGGGGCAGAGAATGAACAGGAGTTCCTCCAGCTGTCGGAACAGCCCGATGCGATGGGCCTTGGACGCTGTGACGCCCTGACTCAGACTCATCAGGGAAGGGGGCTGTCCTGCGTGTTTGGGAAGTTTGGGGGCAGGGGCTCTGAGGTCGGGCAAGAAGGCTTTGGGTGATTGGCAGGCCTGGCCCAGCACAGCATCTGCGGGCACCTCAGGCCATGCTGAGTGACACCACCCTCAGCCCCTGAGGCAGGCTGCCCCAGCAGGATAGTGAGGACACGCACAGGTGGGATGGCCAGCTGCCCCAGCATCCCCTAGACAGAAGACGACCTGACGCAGCCCCCTGAGTGCCAGTTGCCCGCAGACTCGGCGTCCGTGTGTGTGTGTGCTCATGTCCGTCTTGGGGGAGCTCTGGCCCCACGTGTAGGAAAGCCCGCACTCCTGGAGGGACATGTGGAAGGCCGGCCAGGGAAGCACAAAGGCTCTGGGCGGGATTCCTGGGGAGAATGAGGCTGAGTCAACGCTAATGGGTCTGGAGCAACCTTCCCAGCGCCTCGGAGGCTTGTGAGCAGGAGAATAATAGCGGAGGTGTCCCAACATGACCGTGGTATCAATTGCGTTATCCTAAAAGTTTATGGAATGCATGAGTGGAATTAATACCTTTTACTGGCACCAGGAGCAATTATATGTGCGTAAAGCTGTGGGAAGAGTTCTAACAGTGTTTATTGTGGAGATGAAACGTGGCTTATTAAGGGAAACTAGAGTACTTAGAGCGAATTGCAGCGTTTGCTTGTCTCGTGCGGCACAGGGAGGCGCTTCCAGCCGGCCCGCTCTGGCTGCGGTCAGCGCCCGGGCTCGTGGCCCGAGATGGGGTCGGCTCTTCTCTCTACACTTGCTGGAGCAGCCAGAGGAACTCACTCCCGGGCCCTGGAGGTCACAGAACTTGGCCTTGGAGGCCCCCAGTGAGGCTGGGGAGGCCCCAGCTCTGAGCCCCTGGGTCCTGCTGCAGCCCCACCCAACCCTGCCTGGCTCTTGGAGAAGGAGGGAGGACCCCTTGGGGGATGTGCGACTGTGCGGGGAGAGGCATGAGCCAATTTGCGTTCTAGGAAGAATCGTCTCCTTCCTGGGACTCGTTTCCGGTTTGGGGACAGCCCATGGACCTAGCACGCCCAATGAGTAGCGTTGGCAGCAACATTGCCGCTGTGTGCAGGGCCTCCTGCTCTCCCCATTTTACAGATGGAAACTGAGGCTCCCAGAGGGCATGCCAAGGTCACCTGTCAGCAAAGGGCGGAGCTGGAGCCTAGCCCCAGCAGCCCGACCCCTAACCTTGCTCTTGCAGCCCGTGCAGTGGCCCCCCGGCCCCTCAGGTCCCTGGACAACTCGAGCTTCCCCTGCCCCTCCCCCACCCTCTGCTCCCAGCTCTGTGGGGCAGGTCCCTGTGACCCTCGGGGACCCCAGAGGAACCATTGATAAGGAGGTGCTGACC